CCTATAAAAACTACTGAACCTCAGTACTGTGACCAAAGCCCACCAACATGTTTTTCTGATTGTTAACCTGATTGTTAGCTGCCTGGGGGACTAAAGCACACACTGGGTTGTGTCTGGGTGTGACTTGGAGGTGGGACCTTGGGAACTGTAATGGCCCCTGCATTCCCTGTGCTCTACTTCTGGGCCACCATGAAGTGAACAGTTTTGCGCCACCATTCCCTTCCACCATAATGTTCCTGCTTCATCAGCCAACCATGGACTCATCCATTTGAAACCATGAGCCAAACAAAACAAACCTCCTCCTTTAAATTGTGTGTATCAGGGTTTTGTCCCAGTCACAGGAAAGCTGACTATCATTTTCACAGAAAATATAAATGACTACTGAGGCTCAAAATGTCAAAAAAATATTTTAAAGGGGGCCAGCGATTTAGCTCAGTGGTTCCACCACCTGCCTTGCAAGTGTAAGGTTCCGAGTTTGATCCCTGGTACCAAAAAAAAAATTTTTTTTAAGGAATTCAAGTCATAGAACTACATTACTTTTCCTCCAACACAGGTCAGTAGTCTTTTAACTAAATATCAATTAATGTGAAATCCAAAAAAGGAGGACCTGTAGCTCGATTTTACTATTTCATTAGCATTGGAGGAAACTTAAACACCATGACTTTTATGCAGTGTAGCCCCGTGCTGACCATGCTCCTGCCTCTGACATCTTGATCCTCCCAGGGCTGGCCACACCCCACAGTGGGTAACTGCGGGCATCACCCTCCACGGCACCCCAGCCAGAACCCACACCCCCTGGAGTCACTCCAGGCACCATATCAACACAAGGCACACACCTGCACCCCGGGGGCCCTGCGTCACTTGAGGCTTCCAAGCCCAAGCCTGGCCTGCTGCACCCCTCCTGATCTGTGACCTCTCTGGACCTGAACATAGTGACACCTATGCTTTTAAACAAAGCCTCCATCTTCACTTCCTGTTGCTCAGGCAGTAGAACAGCGATCCAGAGTGTGGCTTTTCTGTTATCCTCTTTTATTTGATTTTCATCCATTGAACATTTCTTTGCCACAGTTAGAAACATGGGCTAGACAAGCTCCTTCTGGTAGTTGCTTTTCAAAGGAAGGGAGAAGCCCCCTTTATTAGCGTGGCACTGAACCAGACCTGTTTTGCCCGCTGTATGGGATAGCAGTCACTGAAATCATGTGCTTTGCCATGAGCCAGATGTGGAGACGGAAGTCCGGGGTGCAGATCTGCCTCCCTGAGGACAGTTTGGGATACTTGCAGGGTCAAGGAGCAGGGATTCAGTGCCTGGGGAAAGGAGACGCACTGAAGCAGATAGTGGTCTTCGAATGTACAGTCAAGCTTCCCGGCTTTTCCCTGAAAATGGCAGTGTCCTCGTTGTTGGAAGGAAGAGATTTGGGCCCCTGAAGTAACCTGCCAGGGGACACCTGTGCAGACCCAGGTAGAGTTGGAGCTTTCAACAAAGTGGCTTCCACATCCTTGTGAAAAACCCTAGCCATTTGTCATGATCATCCTGATTCACAGGACAGAGGTGTCACCCACAGCAGAGCTCATGGGAGGCAGATGACTTACTGCCTGGCCTGCGACCTGCCAAGGGCTCAGAGTCACAGAGCAGAAGGCACACAGGGCTGGTGGGTGAGAGGAGCTGAGCCCCAGGTCAGCAGGCTGGGAACTGTCCTCCCATGGGTCTTGCAGACAGGGCTCCTCCTCCTTTGGTGGCCACATTCTCAGGAATGGTCACATTCTCAAGGACGGTGCTCAGGCCTCCGAGATGCTTCTTAGCATGAAGGACAGGCCCCGAAGAAGAGTGGGGGACACCCAGCAAGGCTCAACTTTAATGCTGCTTCTCATTCAGTGGCTGCTCCTTATGCTGTAACAGAAGTTAGGACCACTTTGGAATTTTGTGAAAACGGCAGGAGAATTTGAGACTTACTCCCTTTTCATTTTCTGAAGACTTGATTGTATTTCTCCTGAGGAAGATTGAAACCTCTCCAGGGAGCCGGCCTCCCAGAGTGAGGTCTTCCTCTCCCGGTCAGGAACAGAGATTCATGCCGACTGTCCATGGCCGCGTCTCACCCCCTCACACCTTCTGCCCCAAGCCTGCATTGTTACTCTGGGGGTCATTGGTTCCCACACAGCGTCCCCCTCCCACCGAGCTGAATTCCTGTCTCATAATTTCCAAACATGGCTTCTTGGCAGTGAGAGAGGAAATGGTAGAGGGAGGTAGTTTTCCTTTGTGGTGTTTAATAAGTAAAATAAAGGAAGCCAAACAGCAGGGCCATCTTGGTTATAGCTGCAGAAGCCCAGCCATCTTTCAGCTGGGAGAGGGAATGTCGGGGAAGCTCTGGGGACCCCTTGTTCCTCAGAGTCCTGAAGAGCCTCCTGTGGGCAGGGCTGCAGAGTCTGAGTCTCCAGAGCTGGGAGAAGGGATGATTCCCTGACCAGGTGCAACCTCATCCTGAAGGTGCCAGGTTGCACAGACTGCTGTGCATCCCACCCCTGGTTGTTCCTAGGTCGTCTTGCAGTAGAAGGCATCATTTGAGGCTTGTAGGTTGTGGTCTGAATCCTCAGCTACGGTTGATGGAGGGTCTCGACCAAACTTCTGTCTCCCTACCTGCTTCCCACACCCTCCTGCCAGCCACCCAGGGGGCTGAGCCCCAACACATCCCACTGCACCTTGGCCCCTCACTCCGCCTGGGCTCTGGCCCACATTCTCACCCCACCCACCCCTCTTCTGTGCTCCCTGATGGCCCATCTGGGCACAGTCACATCCACACTCCTTCCTGCTGGCTTTGAGCCCAGCTAAGGCAGGGGACACTCTCCCCTCATGTCCTGCCCCAGCCTGGACACAAGCAAGGCTCAGAAGCAAGCATTTGCCTGCCACTTGGAAGGCATCACACTCACTCCACAAAGTGCTCCCTATCGAGAGGACTTAATAGGCCTAGTACTTTATGTTTCAGCAAAGATTAAAGCAAACCATGGTCAGGCCAGTATAAGGACACACAGTAACTGGGAGATGCTTCCAATACAAACCAAGCAGCAAGGTTCTCCCACCCACACTTGAACCTCTCCCTGGCCAGTCTGAGCCGTGTTCTGGGATAGGCCAACCAGTGCGGATGCCTGGGGCTGTGCTGAGAGGCTGGTCAGACTTCACTGGGACAGGAAAGAGCCCTGCTGGATGGAGACGATCACCAGGTGGTACCGGGCTTCGAGGGCGCTCCCTCCCCCTCTCCCAGCTCTGCACTTCACAAGCACTGAGGCAGGTGGCTCAGATGGGGGACAGGGTTCCTCTGATCCAGGGCTCCCCACTATATGAGGCTGTGTGTTCCCTGATCACCCAGAAAGCACTCATCAATCACTGCTGCGTACAGCTTGGCCACGCTCAGGGTGTTCCGGGAGCAGGCTGAAGGTCTGGCCCTTAGGAGACTCACATCCCAACAGGGGAAGCAAACGTCACATGTCACACATTACTTGTCTAGGAAACTAACTTAAGCCACGTAGTTTACTCAGTGTTCCATACCCAGAAGGGCCAGGACACCAGGGAAAGAGAAAGAGGTGGGGCTGGAGGAGAAACTGAAACTTACACGGGACCAGAGGCAGCCCGTGGTGGAGCCAGGCAGGGCAGAGATGCGGGGGCTGCCTGGGAGCCAGCCACACACAACACTGGGTCCCAGGGCGCTGGGCGCAGGGCTCGGCCTTGGCCAAGACCATGTGGAAGAGCAGGAGAGGCCTCTGAAAGATGTGGAGGTGCTGCTGCAGGGGGCAGTGCAGAAGCAGCAAGAGCAGGAAGCAGGCCAGTGAGAATCAGGTGACCGTGCAATGGATCACGGTGCTGGATTTTGAAAGGTAGATCTATTTGAAAGCCAATTCCCATATCCAGTGGCAGTGACTCTTGATTTAGCTGAAGTGTCTCTTACCCCTCCTGGCTGCTCCATCCGGATTACCAATAACCACCAGGGTAACTTGCATCACAGCTCGCCAGCCACCTAACCCTGAGAGGAGGGAAGCCTGAATTAGTAATGAGGGTGAAGATACATGAGGAGGAGTGGAGGGACATTCTCGTTATGGTCTCCACCATGCATCCACCTGTGGGCCCTGGAGGCCACCCTGCCCAGGTACCCAGGACCCTGGAGACAAGGCCCAAGAACATGCATTCCCACCCAATCCCAGCCGTGGCCGATGCTGCTGGCCAAGGGCCGCTTGTTGACAACCACACTCTCGGCAATCTCAGGGTAGAACAGCATCATACACGTCTCAGGTGGAGGGGAATTCCAGGGCATTTCACCCAGCTGTTGTGAGCCAAATGTATTCCCAGGCAGGCAACACAAACAGCAGAGCAGTGTGCAGTGAAACAAATACGGTTTTAGCTCAGCCCACATTTTAATGAATATTGTGAATTTGGATTTTGGGTCTCACTGGTGTGCAGCCTCTAGCACATGCCCCACACCCCCTTTCACAGATCAGGAAGCTAGGGTTACTCTAATTGCTTTAAAAATATTCAGTCTTTGGTTCGGCCTGCTGGTAAGATCAAATACTGACCAGCTGAATAGAGTGCCTGAATTGTGTTGGGATGGTGATTTATTTGAAGGGAAAGCAGCAAATAGTTACTTGGACTGTGCTATGTGGCTGCAGTCAGCTTCTAAGATACATGTGGATACAGATAGCTCTAGATGGTGAGCTTACAGATCATTTTTATTTTCTTCCTGGCTGTATGGTTAGATTTAACTTATTATTTCTCTTTCTCTTTTTGTGCTGAGCGTTGAGTCCAGGGCCTTTGCCCTGAGCAACACCCTTAGTCCCTTTTTTATTTAACAGGCAGGATCTCATTAATTCCCTAAACTGCCCAGTCTGGGCTTGAATTGAACTCTCCATCCTCCTGCCTCATTTGCCCAGAATGCTGGGATGACAGGCATGCACCATGATTCCCCACTATGGTTAGAACTTTAAAAGCCTGTTCATAATTTTTGTATGGTTTGAATTTCAGAAGCTCACTTATAACCTTTGAGAGGAAAGAATATAGCCCTCCCCCTTACCTGAGGTTTCACTTTTCACAGTTTCAGTTACCAGAGGTCAGCTGTGGCCCAAAAATATTAAATGAAAATCCCCAAAATAAAGAGTTCCCGAGTTTTAAGTTGTATGCCTTTCTGAGCAGCATGGTGAAACCTCACACCAAACCGCCAGGTCCTGTCTGGTACCTCACCCTCTCAGGAGTGCGCACCGTCCTACCGCCTCCCCACTAGTTACCCAGAGGCATCGCGGTTCCCAGAGTGCCCAGCGGTATGACAGCGCTGTGTCCACGGAATGCTTCCTTTAGTCAGTGATGGCCCTGGCGTGGAAGAGGTGTGGTGCTGGCAGTTTGCACTTGCCAACAAGGAGCAGTACATGCTTCCTTTAAGTGAAAAGATGAAAGTGAGATGCTTTGAGAGATCACATTCCTGCAACTTTTAGTGCAGCATGTTGTTACAGTTGTTCTGTGTGTCACTGTTAATCTCTTCATGTGCCTCCTTTACAGTTTAAACTTCGTGGTGAGTATGTGTCCACAGGAGCGAGTGTTGGATGAAAGGTGCAGTGCAATCCGTGGTTTCCAGCATCTGCGCGGCCAGGCAGCATAACCTGTGGATGAGGGGGCGCACTGCTCACTTCCTTCCCCTGCGAAATGAGATCTCTAACCCGCAATACCCGCATTTAACCACAAGGTGGAGCAGTGCACAACCGAATAAGCAACTGGAAGCAGAGCGGGGAGGAAGATTTCTGTCCCTGAATTAATCTGCGTGACTCATGTGCATTTTAATGCTTCTTGAGAACACCAGGCATATTAATTATCTTTTCAAATCATCCATTGCAGATGAATTTCTAAATTCTGATTTATTTTTCTTATGCTTACATTTGAACCTATAATTATCTCACCTATTAAATGGATTCCTTTCAATGAAAGAGGTAAATTATTAGAGAAGACGAGAAGCCACCGTCAGGAACCTTAGCTCGTGCCAGTAAGGGAAACTCACCAGTGGGCATCTGGGACCCACGGTCTCCATCCTGAGCCATCCTGTGTCCAGTACAGAATGACGACAGCTGGGCTTGAAGTGGCTGCTTCAAAACGTACATTCGCCATCAATGTTTTGAAACATGAATAAGCTCCCTACATGTTAGTGTGCCAATAAGAGAGAAAACAGAGGGAACAACTCAAAATAGACGAAGACAAAGATTAAGAGACTAAGACTGAAGAACAGAGCTTACTACTTCGGTCCCTCGGGATCGGAGGGAGAGGAACGTGGGAACCTGCAGTGTTCGGCCCCGCCAAACAGCTCTCCCGCCCACCTCCTGCGCACTGCCCCCCCCACACCACGCTGGGTTGGAAATGGAGTTAAAAGTTTAGCCAATGCCTTTTTTCTTTTCTTCCCTTCTCTCTCTACTCCCCTCCTTTCCTCCTCCTTTTTTTTTTTTTTTTTGCCTTTCATTCCTTTTTCTGTTTTTGCAAACCAGATAACTTCATCTCCAAATTTTCCTAGTAAATACCTGTCTCTGATTTTTAAACTTCTATCATTTCTTTATTGTGAATATTCAAGGTGCTGCTTCAGTTGTTTTGAAACGTCCACTGCATCACCGTGAACCGCAGTCCCCTACCGCAATAGCACCAGACTCACTCCTAGCACCTGTGACTTTGCCTGCCTCACCCTCTCCTTCCCACTACTTCCCAGCCTTCTAGAGCCACCAGTTGCCTTATCATCTACGAGAGCAACTCCCATCTGCCACTGTGAGTGGGATTGTGCGATGCTTGTCCCGTGCCTGGCTCATCCACTTACCACACTGGTCTCCCATACACCCAGACGGTCTCTAGGATCATCCAGCCCCCATCCTTCTATGAGTGACCATGGCTGCAGGGAGGAGACCTCCCTTCTATCAACACTCAAATCTCAGCCTCGGATGCCAGGAGATTCTAGAGGAATTGCTGCACCACAGAAAATCCATCTTATTCATCCTCAGTATTCACAGAGTACAAAAGGTATACATTCAGTGCTGTCCCATTTGAAGTCGGGTAACAGCTAATAAGATACAAGGCTACTTAGTCATTGCCCTAACCTGAACTGTAACATTAGGATTCTAAACGAGAGTAGCAGGTGGAGAGAGAAAAATCGCCCATAACTTTACCTTCTCCATGCTGGTAATTATTAGGGATTCTCTTGCAGTGTACTTCTTTGTGAAGGCATAGTTCACATAGTTCCCATTAGAGTATGCACCAATTCTAAAACCAATTTTCCACTTACAATCATAATCATGTTTTTGTGTAGCTATAAGCTTTATAATTACAGTTTTAATGACCTCATAATACCCTATCCATTGAGCATATGTTCCATAATTTACTGAACTGGTTTCCATACCGTTACCCACATGTGCTTTGTAAAAATAATACTGTAAATAATGCGCCATTAAGCATGTTTGTGCATATCCATTTTTTTAATTTATCCTTAGGCTATGTCAATGAAATTCACTAGAAAAGAATTCAAGAAAAAGAGAGGCTTTATTGAAAAAGAAAGAAGGAAAGAAAAAAGCTTGCAAACCTTCAAGATGAAAACCTTTCCTTGGTAGTGCAACCCAGAGTAACCAAGGGAGGTCAGGCACACAACAATTCCCGCCCCCCCCAGGAGGGGAGAGCAAGTGTGCAAAATCCTTATTGGTCATTATGTAAATGAGGGAGACGATGGCCCATGTCTGATTGGGTGACTTTTACATGTGTCTGTAGGCCAGAGCCCATTGGTCAGGTTCTGGCCTGTTTATCTTGGCAGGTGAAGCAGGAACGAGCCCTCTGGATGCAGAGCTCAGAGCCCTGTGTGACCCACTATCAGCCCTTGACCACTCAGAACCCTTCTTGGACACTGAGTTTAAACTTCACAGCTAAATTCCTAACACCAGGCTTATCAAGTCCCTGGGCACCAACCATGACTTTCCTGACAAATGACTTTCCAGAGGTCTTTGCCATTTCCAGCAGAGTCCCAGCCTCTGAACACGCACCTGCGTGTTCCTGTCCTGCAGGCTACCTGCTGCACCTGGCCATGCCCCTCCATCTGGGAACACTCAGGACCCCATCAACCTCTAGCAGGCTGCTACTGAGCCCCCTACTGTCCCTGGGCACACTTCCCAGGACTCCCCCACAGAGGTAGAAGTGTGGAAGCATCAGAATAAAAATGGAGTCACTTGTGTCAACCCTAACAACAGAGAGAAAACAGAAGAAGGGGTTCTGACCACAGTTGCACTATAGTAACTATCACAGAGACTTCCAAAGCCACAGCCTCGCACAGTGGCTACACAACCCCACTCAGAAGGTAGTTCCAGGGGGACATCTGCCCAGCCACTGCCTCGCTACCTCAGAGCGATGGCACCCTGGCTATTATCTCTGCAGCCTAGGGTCAAAATATCTGTAAGATCGACACCCACTCATGCGCCAATCTTCTGCGTGCCTCCATGCAGATGACTGGCTCCTGCGTCCACCTCTTCCACAGTGTTCTTCCTAAGGTCAGCCAGGAAGTGCACTGCACAAGTCAGTGGACACCTTCGCTTCCATCTCAGCTGGTGTCACCAAGGCAGGGGGACACCCTTCTTCTGGAAACTTTCCCTCCTCAGTAGCCACATCCTTTAACCCCCTCATTATTTCCTTCTCAGGCCCAGCCCTAACCATTGTGCTCTCCAGAATCAGAGCACAGCTGGGTGAGCAATGTTGGGAGGGGCAAGGCTTTGGGATCCTCTCACACTGTCCTATCAGTGCTCCAGTGCTCCTGACCAGGGTCTCAAGCCACAGCTTTGCAGAGTGGGGCTCCTGTCACACACCCTGCTGTAGCCCATCTCTGTGTGTGCGTGTGTGTGTGTGTGTGTGTGTGTGTGTGTGTGTGTGTTTTGAGACAAGCTCTTGCTTTGAGTTCAGGCTGACTTTGAACTTACTCTGTAGCCCAGACTGGCCTCCCCCTTGTAAACCTGCTTCAGCCTCCAGGATGCTGGGATTAAAAGTGTGCACTGCTATACCCAGTAAGACCCTTAATCTTGATCTGTCAGCTTCATTGGATTAAGAAACACCTGGCAGATTGGTAAAGCATGCTCCTGGGTGGCCTGGGTGGGTCACAGAGGTGTAGCCTTGGGGTTTGTGTCCGGTCCCTGGCCCTTCCTCTCTGGCGCTGCTCCCCTGCCCTGTTTCCTGGATGTCATGAACTGAGCAGCTCTGCTCCACCACACCCTTCTGCCATGTTGCTCCTGGGAACCGGAGCCAAATTAACCTCTCCTCCTCTAGGTTGTGAGTGTCGGGTACAGAGCCCCAAAAATGAGACTGCTGATGGATACACCAGATATCCACCTGAATGTTCCATAGACCTTCACCCATACCAGGTGACGCACGTTCTCAGTGAGTGCCCCATCTCTGCCTCTGGTCAACTTCCAATCCACCCATCAGCCCAGGGCCCTTCTCATGTTCATAGCTACAACTGGAGCTCATCTACCCCTGACAGCATCAAAATCTCAGCTCTGCACCCTCAGGTCTATCCTGACTTCTCCCCGATCTCCTCAACTCCTATCTAGATTACACCTGTCATTCACTCATGCCTTGTTGTCCCCAACGACAGGTGATGTGGCCGGGCAAGCGTGGGGGCCCTGCAGGCTCCAGGCTCTGCCTTCTGTGGCCTGTGGTCAAGACCTCTCCAGCTTCTTCCTGTCTCCACTGAGAGGCTCTCATGAAAGGAGGAGGCAAGGGCAGCTGGTGCTTCTGAGGAGCAGGCTGAGGACAGGTTGTGGGGAGCCCTAGACTTCCCGAGAATATACCATATGCTGGCTGCCCTGTGCATCCTTCTCACCTTCTGCAGCACTATGGAGAGCTGGTGGTTCTTTCTCATTATTTTATATTCTAGTTATGACTGCATGTTAATTAACAGAATGGATTCCACTACGACATTGTCATGCGCATATATGCTATACTTTGATCATATCCACCCCATCCCTTCCACAGCTCCTTCCCCTTCCCCAGCAGTTCCTCTTCTACTTTCATGTCCTCTCTTCACTGTTAGACTCCACATGTTGGAGAAGTCATGTGCTATTTTCTGAATCTGGCTTATTTCACTTACCATGATGGTCTCCAGTTCCATTCATTTTCCTGCCGGTGACCTGATTTCATTCCTCTTTATGGCTGGGTAGTACTCCAATGTGGTATAACACCACCATTCCTGAGAGGCACCCAGGCTGATTCCATACCTTGGCCGTTGGGAGTTGTGCCACAATCAGCATGGGAATGCAGCTATCTCTCTACAGTGCTGACGTGAATCCCTCTGGGTGTGTGCCCAGGAGTGCAGAGAGCTGGGTCCTATCGTAGCTTTAGATTTTGAGAAACCTCTGTACTGATTGCCACAGTGGCTGCACTAATTTACATTCCTACCCAAGCAGGAAATGTTTGTACGGGAGTTTTCCAGTCACTCTCCAGTTCATAACCCTTCAGTCTGAACAGATTTTTTAAAATATATTTTTAATTGATGATGATGACTGCACAATTGTGCATATTTAGATGGTATGGTGTGATAACAAATACCTGCGTGTAACGTGCAATGACAAAATCAAGGTAATTAGCATCCCCATCTCAAACATTTATCATTGCTTTGAGTTGGAAAACTTCATTCAGACTTTTCATTTATTGTGACATATAGAATAAATTACTGTAAAGCATAGTCACTATAAGGTACCATGAAAGCCAATATTTATTCCTTCCACCTAATTGCACTTCGGGCACCATTATTTTATTATCTCACCTCCTCCCCTGCAGGAGACTGCAATATTGGCTATGCTCAAAGCAGGCTGTAAGCAGTGCAGGCTGTGAAAAGTTAACCCCATAATTGGCTTGTTTTGAGAAACGAGTCCAGCCAAAGCCTGCCTGCCGAGGTCAGAGTAACTTGTACCCAAATTCCATTCCCACCACAAAAACCTTCTTACTGGAAGGACAGTGATCATATTACAACCATATATTTTGTCTATTCTGTTTCTAATTTGAAAATGCTTTGTCTTGTCCTTTATGAGGCTTGTTTACATTAATTTCCATAGAAACCCCATGATTGCATGTCCTCAATGTAGTCCACCTTTATCCTAATTGATTACTAATAAAAATAAGTGGCTTGGACTGGCCAGGGCCTTTGCCGGTTGTGCCAGCTTGGTCATCCTGGTGCCCTACTTTCTGTCTCTCTTAGTCCTTTGAGTTTTCTTTCTCAGGCCTGCATCATACACTGAGCAGGAGACTGGAGCTTACTGCAGAGATTTCCAGTAAATTCAGGGGTCCCCAGTACTCCCCTATCTCACTCCCCATTTCCTGTTCTCTAGTGGCTAATAGTCTATGCTCTACTATCATGAGGTCAGCTTTTTTAGCTGTCACATACAAGTGAGAACATGCACTGTTTGTCTGTTTGACAAACATAATGTCAGACAGACATTACGTTTACCTCACTTAGCATAATGTCTTCTTGTTCCATCCACATTGCTACCTACACCAAGATTTGTACACACACGTGTGCATACACAAGCATATGCACACATCACACTTTCTTTATCCGTTGCTCCTTAAACATTCATCTGTTAGTGGACATCTTGGTTGATTCCATACATTGGCTCAGATGATGCTACAGTGAACTTGAGAGTTCAGGCATCTTTGATCCACTGATTCTTCCTTCCCATTGTGGAATGGATGGATTTTAAGGTAGTTCTATGTTTTGTTATTTGAGGAACCTCCATACTGTTTTTTATAATGGCTGTGCTAATTTAGACTACCACCAACACTATATAAGAGCACCCCTTTCTACAACATTGGTTTTTTGTCTTTTTTTTTGTACAGGGATTGAACTCAGAACCTTGCACTTGGGAGACAGGTATGGTGCCACTGAGGTAAATCCCCAGCCCTTGTCTTTTTGATTATAACCATTTCACTAGCGTGAGCTATCCCATTGTGACTGTGATTTGCATTTCCCCAGTGGTGTGTGATATTGAGCATTTCTTTTCATATACTTGTTGGCTATTCATATATCTTCTTTTGAGAAATGTCTGTTCAGATTATTTACTTTTCTTAAACATTTTATCTTTTTTTTCACAGTGCTGGAGATTGAACATAGGGCCCTGCACATATTAGGCAAGTTTTCTATCATGGAGCCAAATCCCGAGCCCTGTCCCTGCTTTTTTTCAGTACTGGAAATTGAACTCAAGGCCTTCAAACTGACCTACATCACAAGACCTTTCATTTATTTATTTATTTATTTATTTTTGAAACAGGGTCTCAACGTTTCTAAGCTACCCAGGCTGAGACGAAACTTTTGATCCTCCTGAGTTTCTGGAATTACAGTCATGTTCCCCTGCATCTGGCCCTGTCCATTTTATAAATTGGATTTTTTTTCTGTTGGGTTTTCGTGTTCCTTGTATTTTGGGACACTCATCCTTTGTTGAATAAATGCTTGCAAATTTTCTCCCATTCTGAAGGTTGTCTCTGCTCTACTGGTTGTTTCTTTTGCTGTGCAGAAGCTTCTTAGTTTAACAAAACCACAATGTGTCTATTTTTACTTTTGTGCTTGTGAAGTCTTACACCAAAACCCACTGCTTATTCTGATGGCTCGAAGTGCCTCCCCTGAATTTTCTTCTAGTAGTCTTACACTTAGATCTTTGATCCATTTTGAGTCATTTGGGTATGCGGGGAGAAACAGGGTCTGATTCATTCTTCTGCATATGGGGAGTGTCCAGTTTCCCAGGCACGTTTACTAAAGAGACTGAACAGGTATTTTAGACCCATGTTCTGGGCAACGCTGTCCACTGTCACCAAAGGTGAGGCAGCCCAGATAGCCACTGTGGAGGAGTGGACAGACCATGAGAGGGGATTGTCCAGCCTGGGCAGGGAAGGAGATCTGACACTGCTGCTACACTGTGGGCTTCAAGGAAATTGTGCTGAGGGGAGCCCGTCACCAAAGGACAAACAATGTGAGTCACTAGTAAGAGGGACACGGAGGGGACAGTTCATAGGAACAGGAAGCAGAATGGTGTTTGTCAGAGCTGGGGTGGGGAAGAGGTTCTTATTTAGGGGCACAGAGCTTTGGGGAGATGAAAACATTCATGGTGGCGATGGCTGCACAACAATGAATGTGCTCAATGCCACAGAACCATACACTTAAAGTGGCTAAAAGAGTACATTTGTGTATTTTTACTAAAAAAAGTCTTCAACATTTCTGCATTGCCTACAGAGCCACCCAGGTGCTGAAGGCCTCGAGGATCTGACTCAGCTCTTATTTATTTATTGAGACAGATTCACAATGCCCTGTCTCCCAACTGCAACTACGCAGCACTGTGTCTTTTCTGGGCCACAAATGTGCTCAGTGCTTCACGTCTGCCCCACTCTCCCCTGTCCCCAGGCCCGACCCTTCTCCCCCATGGGACAGGGGCAGGGACAGGTTCCACAGCCACCTCCCCCAGGAAGCTTCCCTGACACAGCCCTCGCCGAGTAAGGCCGAGCTCCCTGTGGCTCGACACACATGTGCCCTGTGCATTTTCACACCAGAGAGTGCTGTTGCTTGTACCTGTGTCCCTTGTGTGACTGCTCATGGTCATCTCTGCCCCGGCCCAGTCCAGGATGGGGCTAAAGAACCCATGCACATTTGGCAAATGAGATGGAGAAACAAAGCCTCTCCCAGGGCGACAATCATGGCAGATGGAGGGCAGTTACGTGCCTGTCCCGTTGTCCCCTTAGCTGTGGCCAGTGGCAGACTTCATTTCTCTGTCTGTGCATCATGACAGTCACCCTCTAGACATCCTGACTGTCCTGAGCGGGCCGCAGCCCACAGCATTGGCTGTTAGCACCTTTCTGACAGCCAGGGCCTCTGCACAGCCGTCCCTGGTCACCTCCACATCAGAAGGCTGCTTTAGATGCAGCTGTCTGGAGGGAGGATGAGGCAACAGTGCCAAGCCTGGGTCATCTGATTTCCTCAGAGCTGCTGTCTTGCCAGACCTGTGTCTGTTGGAAACGGTCAGGGCCGTTCCTCGAGGTCAGCGGAGAGCAGAGACACTGAAGAGCTTCCACGAGAGGAGGACCAGCATCAGTTCTGACCCAAGCATTGTGTCCCTGGACACCTGGGCCTGCACAGAACCTCAGCACAGCTTCCTGTGTGACAAGGACAGTGCCGGCAGTCTCACTTCACCCTCCCTGCTCCCTGAAGAAAGCAGCTCTCTTTCCTGTCTCCAACTCCACTCTCCTGCACAAGTAGGAAGCGAAACTTAAAACCTTTTTATTAGTACATGTTTGCAGCACATTATGTTTACATTGACCCCAGGGTAAAGTACAAGCACTAAACGCATCTTAATTCTTTTTATTACTTGTCCTCCACCCCGCCTCACCCCTCTGTCTCTAGATCTCCTTCCTATTTGCAAAAGATCTGTCTCTTTGTTTCCTATTGCCTATCTTCTGTTTTGTTTTTTAAAAATTATTTATACTTATACTTTGGGTTCCTCATACAAGAGAAATTATGTGACATTTAAGCATATGAGTTTGATTTATTTCACTTAACACTATGGTCTCAAGGTGCATCCATTTTCCTACAAATGACTCGAGTTTATTTTTCGTTATGGCAGAGCAGTGCTCCATCGTGTATAAATACCGTATTTTCTTTATCCATACATCTGTTAATGGATACATAGGCCAAGAAGCAAAACTCTTACACTAGAAATTACAACATCAGATTGGGTGAATTTCAACTAAAAGTCATTTGTGGTTGGAAGTGTTTGTACAAGTGAGACATTTGTATCTGGATCACCAAAATCCTGCCTCCAGTCTCTGACACTGAAAAGGATGAGGAAGATTCCATTCGGACACTGGGTTTTACAGAATGGGTGGAGCTATCTCAGCTGTAAAACAGCCTCTATTCCTGCTGGGCTTCACAGACTTTTGGAGGTATGTTTTCATGCTGCCTCTAATTCCTCCTTTGCATGGAGCCAGGGCAGAGGGCTCATGAGCATCTGCCTCCACCCTTCACTTACCCTGCTCTGATCATGGGCTGTGGTCAGGTGAGTAAACACATCCTCGCACACAGACTGCGACTGGGTGACTTGGAGCCAGCAAAACCATGCCGAGCATGTGGTGTCCTGCTTTTCCTGTGTAGCCCGGGATCCAGAGCGCTGTCCCAGGCTGGCCAGAACCTCACAGGACAGAGCAAGCTGTGCACTGTGGGGTTGGGAATTCGAGTTCCTTGCTCCCAGATGAGAAATGGGCCATGGATCTGCCCAAGGATGCACTGAAAGCTGGCTTTCTGCCTCCAACCTGGAGCTCCTGTACT